ACCTTAACCAAAATCAAAGTAGACTATCACTCACCCATACCAGATGGAAAACTCTACAGACTGTCGGTTCACACCCCATCACAAGCCAGCAAAACATCCACGAAACAAAGAAAGGTCTGTCAATATATATATATCGTGAAACTCCGACGAAAGAGTTTGTCACAGCTCCTTGTTTGTTGTCCTCTTCTCTGTTCTCCCTCTCTGCCTACGGTTTACCGGGCAGCTCTGCTCTGTTTGACGATTTATTTGTTTCCTTTGTTTGTTTTTTTCGCTTTTGCGCTCTGCCTCCTGATGAGTCAGTGAAACTCTGACGAAACAGTTTGTCACAGCCGCTCGTTTGTTGTCCTCTTCTCCTTCTCCCTCCCTCTCTGCCTACGGTTTACAGGGCAGCTCTGTTTGGGAATCATCATCTAGGATTGTTTTTTATGATGTCCCGGTACGAATTGCTTACGATGACGCCGAATAAGAAGAATGTCGAACAAGGCCATCTGCTGTGTATAGATATGAGAGTGAGAGAACTCCAGACAAGATAAAGTCCACACATAGCGCATAACCGTGATGACCACGGCGCAAATATGCAAAGAGAAAAAATCTCGAACCGGTTCTCAATAACCAGAAACATCAGTAAAGCTCCCCGCAGTCATAGCGTAAGCTATGTCGTCACTTCCCTCCTCGCCGTCAGACAGAGTATAGCATAGGACTGGGGCGGTGCTTGCATGTGGGACTCTTGTGATCTGGGATCTGTTTTGTTGCCCCCTGTTCTCTCTGTTTTATTTGGCATCTTTTCTTTGCCTCTTTGCCTTTAGGCTGTGTGTAAGTGGGTCGATATGACACACGGGGGTGGGGGCAGCCGCCGCTCAACCTACATCCACGTGGGCGGCCTTGTACGCAAGAGGTTCTTTTTTTTTTTTCTTTTTTTTTTTTTGTGGTCCGATAGACCACGGATCAGATATTAAACTGATCAGAACAGATACTAAACTTGATCTTAGCCAAGAGGTTCTGAACAGGGGGAGTTGTAAGGAAGAAGATTAATAATGAATTGATATCTTTTTTGTTTCCTTTTGTTTTTTTCGCTTTTGCGCTCTGATATTTATGTGACGATATAGTGTGGGTGAGTGATAGTCTACTTTGATTTTGGTTAAGGTAGATTATCATTTACAGTGTAATCAGTGAGGGGATTCTGCAGACTGTTGAGGGTTCAGCCTCCTGATGAGTCGGTGAAACTCCGACGAAACAGTTTGTCACAGCCCCTCGTTTGTTGTCCTCTTCTCTCTCTCTGCCTACGGTTTACCGGGCAGTTCTGTTTGTGA